GGCTGTCACCCACCACTGGCTCTGCCACCCACCACCACCCCAGCACCTCCCCACGGGGGTCCCACCAACACCCAGCCCGGTGGGACCAAGGCAACCCCCCATGGTGGCACCCGACGTCCATGGCTCACCTTAACCTCGTCCATCCAGTCAATGCTATGGAGCATCTCCTGGAAGAGGTGCTGCAGGACGAGGTTCATCTCCAGGCGCTGGCGCCGGGCGGCCAGCAGCTCCAGGAGATGCTCCCAGAGCCGCAGGATGTTGTCCTTGCGCCCGTTGATGCGTTGGATGTCGTGGTAGCCCTCCAGCTCCAGCTCCTTCGCCACCGCCTCGATGGCCTGCACCCGCTCTTTGTAGGCGGCCGTATCCGTCTCGATGGCCTCGTGCTTCTTCTTGGCCGCCTCCACCGCCGGCAGGTCCTGGCCAAAGTTGTCCTGCACCGGCACAAAGCCCACGGTGAGGGTCCAACGGGACACCCTGGTCCCTGGAGTGGGGGTCCCCAGCCTCACCTGGGCCACCGGGCGCTGGTTCTCGCTCAGCCAGGCCTCCCTCATGGCCGCCTTGCGGTCGAAGCGCCGTGCCAGCTGCTCCAGCTTCTCCTGCCGGATGAGCTCGGTGCGCAGCGCCAGCTCCTGCTCCTGCTCTGCTTTCTCCAGCTGCTCCCAGGCCTGGGGGAAGGCGGCACCAGGCAGGGGTGGCACCCATGCCCCGCGTCCCCACGCATCTTGTTCTGCTGGTGAACCCCAACGTGCCCCACGGGTGGGACAGCGTGGCTGGAGGAACCCAGTTTGGCCCAGGATGGACCCAGTCTGCCCCAGGAGATGGACCTGAACGGCCTTGGGAGATGGACCCAACCTGCTCTGGGATGGACCTGACCTACCCCAGGAGATAGACTCAACCTTCCTTGGGATGGACCCAATAAGCCCCAGGACCCGGCCTGCTCCAAGAGGGACCTGAGCTGCCCTGGAATGGACCCAGCCTGCCCCAGGAGATGGACCTGAACTACCCTTTAGATGGACCCAACCTGACACAGCGTGGACCCAACCTGTCCTGGGAGATGGACCCAGCCTGCCCCAGGAGATGGACCTGAACTACCCTTTAGATGGACCCAACCTGACACAGCGTGGACCCGACCTGTCCCAGGAGATGGACGCAATAAGCCCCAGGACCTGACCTTCTGCAAGATGGACCTGACCTTCTCCAAGACGGACCTGAACTGCCCTGGGAGATGGACCCAGCTTGCCCTGGGACCTGACCTTCTCCAAGACGGACCTGAACTGCCCTGGGAGATGGACCCAGCTTGCCCTGGGACCTGACCTTCTCCAAGACGGACCTGAACTGCCCCAGGAGATGGACCCAGCTTGCCCCGGGACAGCGTAGGGAGCAAAGCTCCAGGGGATATTGGGGAAAAGAGGTGTCACCAGGTTGCAGGGTGCCACAGGAGCAGCCACGTGTCCCCACGGCACAGCACACGGCCAGGCTGCCGGGATGGGCCCCGTACCCGGTTGATGTCGGAGACCAGCCGCCCCTCGTGCGGGGGGTAGACAGCCGCGACTGGATGGTGAAGAGCAGCACCTCCAGGTTGCCCTTCTCCTGAAACCTGCCCCGGAGAGAGCTCAGCCCGGGGCACCCATGGGTGCTCACCAACAAGGCACGGGGGGCTTGGGGGGGCACGTACTTGGGGGGCTTCTCCACAGTGCGGTAGGTGCTGAAGGCTTGCAGCTGGTGCTGCACCCCGGCCAGCGAGTTGGCAAAGCTGCGGCTGTTGAGGGAGGCGATGGTCTGCTCGATCCAGGTGAGCAGGTCGGAGGCCAGCCCCCCGTAGCCCTCGATCATCCGTTCCGTCTCCTTGGCGTGCTCGATGACCTGCGGTGGGGCCCGTGGTTGGCATCGGGTGCCAGCAGCCCAGCAGAACCCCCCCCAACCCCAACACCGTGCCCTACCTTGCCCAGACGCCTGCCCTCCACCTCCAGCACCTTCATCTTGGAGAAGTAGTGGTAGAAGGCCACCACGTAGGTGATGATGGACTTCTCATCGGGGTTCTCCGTGAACACATCTGCCCGATGGGAGTGAGCAGCAGCCTCACCTTCGGGGTCGAGGAGCGGGGTGATGCCAAGGTGTCGCTCCGCCACGCTGAACGCATGCTCCAGGTTGTGCCGGGCGTTGGATTTGGTCAGGTTTTGGAAGTCAACCAGCTCGGGCCTGGGGACAGAGGGCATGGGACAGTGGTGGCACACCCGTGGGACATCCCCTAGTGCCACTGCCGCCCCAGCACATCCCCCTCACCTTCGGGGTCGAGGAGCGGGGTGATGCCAAGGTGTCGCTCCGCCACGCTGAACGCATGCTCCAGGTTGTGCCGGGCGTTGGATTTGGTCAGGTTTTGGAAGTCAACCAGCTCGGGCCTGGGGACAGAGGGCATGGGACAGTGGTGGCACACCCGTGGGACATCCCCTAGTGCCACTGCCGCCCCAGCACATCCCAGTGACCGCCACCGTGCTGCCTACCTGTGTCTGTGGATGAGGGCGTTGAAGGCCAGCCCGTCCTTCCAGCTCGAGGTGAAGTTGGTGACATTCACGTGGGGGTACCTGCGATGGGGACAGGGCATCGCCGTCACCCTCTTGGCACCCCTTGGCCCCGACGTGGTGGGGCTGTGGGTCCCACCACCTACCCCGCTGTCTTCATCTGGCACCAAAGCAGCAGTGCATCCCTGGCGGAGCGCGTCTCCCGGCCCTCCTGCGTCTGCACGATGATGTCCTGGATCTGGGGGCAGAAGAACATCCCACGGTTGAGGGGGGACGGCGCTGGCGCACGGCGGGGTCCCCGGGGGGGGGGCCCCGTCCCCGGGGCGGGGACAGCCCCGTCCCGCTACCTGGAAGCGGAGGATGATGGTCCAGATGAGGCCGAGGACAAGGCGGTGGTTGCCATCCACGATGTCGTGGGAGCCCATGTTCTCCAGGTGCACCCGCTGCTCCTTCAGGAACTGCAACGCCTTGTCCACGTTCTCCAGGCAGTGGATCCGCATCCGGCCCTTGGTGGGCTTAGGCTGGGGCATGACAATGCTCAGCACCCTCCCCCTCCATGCTAGACACCCCAACCCCTGCCTGGGGACACCCCTGCTTCCACCACCAACCAACCCTAGTGGAGCCTTGGTCAACATCAAGGTCAAGAACCTTGGTGGAGAACCAGAGGTCTTGAGGTGGGGTCCAGGCAGTGGATCCGCATCCGGCCCTTGGTGGGCTTAGGCTGGGGCATGACAATGCTCAGCACCCTCCCCCTCCATGCTAGACACCCCAACCCCTGCCTGGGGACACCCCTGCTTCCACCACCAACCAACCCTAGTGGAGCCTTGGTCAACATCAAGGTCAAGAACCTTGGTGGAGAACCAGAGGTCTTGAGGTGGGGTGGGGCATGGCATGGCGGGGCATGGCATGGCGGGGCATGGCATGGCGGGGCATGGGTCCCAGGGTCTCCAGCTGGCTGGGAGTCCTACCAGAAGATCTCCTGACAACACCTCCAGCCGCTTGCTTAGCCCACGCCAGACCCGGGGC